CCGCCATTTTGGCTGTCAGTTAATTTGCATATCTCCCTGATTAGCCAATGGGAAGGGTAGCGGTCGTACGCCAATTACCATGTTTCTCTTTTATTAGTGTAGATATCCTATGAAACCCAAAGCACTCAGCAGAAAGAATATATGCACCCCTATGTTCTCAGCAGCACAACTGACAATAGCTAAGATTTGGAAACAGCATAAGTGCCCATCAGCAGATGAGTGGATAAAAAAACATGGTACATTTACGTGGCAATAAAAAAGAAAGAACTTGTAACTATTTGCAACAGCATGGATGAAATTATGCTGGATAGAATTATGCTAAGCAAAATAAGCTAGTCAGAGAAAGATAAGTATCACATGATCTCACTCTCACTCATATGCGTATTCTAAGGAGCCAAATAAACTGATGAACAAAAACAGACCCAGAGACGTAGAAGCATGCAGAGGGATAAGTGGGGTGGAGAGGGAGAGATCAACCAATGAACTCAATGCATAATCCATAGACACAGACAATAGGGTGGTGAAGGCCTGGGGGGGAAAAAGGGGAGAGGGCAATGGAGGAAAAAGGGGACATATGCAATACTTTCAACAATAAAGATTTAAAAAAGAGAAAGAAAATAAATGTCAAACTAAAATGTTCTATGGTACTAGATTGATGACAAATAAGGCAGTGTTTTTTCCTTTAAAAATCTAAAAATAAGGGCTCTTAATTACAAAAGCATGGCCAAGATGTTTTATACTGACAAACAAAAGCACCATAATTAAAATTTTACTCACTTTTTCCAATTAAAATATGACATTAAATCAATAACAATGCTCACCGATACTGATATGTCTTCATTTTTTCTCTTAACACTGGAGTCAAACAAGACATTTCTTCCTCGTCTTTCACAGTCTTGATATACAATTAGTCGAATCTGGCTTGGATCAAACTCTGGCAAAGGCCAACTTTAAAGAAAAATAAAGATCCATTAGAGTTATTTAATAAATATCCCACATAAATTTCTATAAATAAAACCTATATAATAGCCCTAGCCGGTTTGCAGTAAAACTTTTAAAAAGCCACTGCATTTGTTTTATGTACTATTATAATGCATTTATTTCACAATTAAAAAGATTAATGTAATGAGAGAGAGAGATAGGGAGGAAAGGGAAAGAGAGAAAACAAAAAGCTGTGAATACTAGTCTGGTGAACTGAACACATAACTGATAGGACAGTTGCTAAGAAATAGGAGAACTGCCATTCCAGAGGCTGTTTGTCATTAGTTACATTAGGCTGAATGGTCCATTCCTCACAATCCATTTAGTCACATCTCTTGGTTGGGATTCCTCCTTTCCTTAAGAAAACCTGATCCTTAACCCTATCAATACCTGTCAAGCAAATTGTAACTGGCAACATAAAACATCTTCATCCCAAACTCTTGACAGTATACACAATTTTAGTTTTCTCCTGTCTAATCCTTAGCAAATATCTGTGTGTTAGAAACTAATGAAAGAACCTCCAAGAAACTGAAGCTAAACCACAGAGATTCCTCCTTAGACTACAATAATTTGCATCCCATTGAACTGCTTTTATTAAACTGTGCTTTTAATGTTATACAAAGGAAACTAAAACAAGAAACCAAATCAGGAAAGTGGCCTCATGGGAAACAAATGAGCATTTTAGAGGAAGAAATAATATGGTAGTCACTAAGAACCACCCATTAGCTTTAGAAACAAAAAGTCATTGATGATCATGGCAAGGGCTGTTCTAAGGAGTAATGAGTAGAGCGGGGGGGGGGGGGGGGGGGGGGGGGGGGTCAGATTGTAGTGGATTAAGAAGTGAATGGGAACAGGAAATAGTAAATTTTAAACTATCAATAAAGAGAAAGAAAAGGAATCATGAAGCAGAGTGACAGCTGCTTGTTATTAAAAAGGACACATCTGAACATGGATACAGAATACAAGTAAAAGGTCAAGCCGCAAACAGAAGAATAACCTCTACACTAGGATGGGGGGAAAAGGAGGTAAAGGTGGACAAGAGTACAGAAAGATTTGTAGATATGAAAGGAAAATGTTTAATGAATTCATGTCTCTAAGAGCCCTATTTCCTCTGTAAAGTAGGAAGAAAGAATAAAAAATGTTGTAAAATGTGAGAACAGCAGAAAGTCAACAATGGTTGTGAGAAAGAAAATATGTTAACTAGGAAACATAACATTTCTGGGAAATGCTGAAAGCCTACGTGAGGTTGAAAACTATGAATATGTACCAGCCACAAACTAGACAGGTCATTTTCACCAGCTTGAATTTGGATCAGATTGAGCCCAGGTAAGGATTTGGATAGGTAGATAGAACAAAAGGAAAGGGGGGTTATAGGGATAGAGCAGAAGACTGACAAGAATACAGCTGGGATGATGGAGAGTGGAATCTAAGCTGGTTAGGGAAGACAGTGAAGTTTGGAGGCTAGCAGATTTGAAGAAAATGGAGGCAGTATGGTCAAAGTGCTAAAATAACATGAAAAGATACAGGGGCAGCAACTAGATAAGAAATAGAAGACTATAATCACAAGGTAGAATACTAGAGTTTAAGATATAAGAAGTAGAACAGTTCACTCATCCATTTAATATAGATCATGTGCCTACTATATGCCAAACATTGGTTAAGATGAGGTAAGAAAAAACCTGCCCAGGAAGCAGAGACACCCGTAGCTAAGTAAAGAAATAATACCCCTGGGGGAACCAAGATGGCGGCATAAGGTATAAACCTGTATGTGCTGCCCCCCACAACCACATTAAAACTACAACTAAAAGACAAAACAGCTATCATCCAGAACCACAGGAAAGCTGGCTGAGTGAAAGTTCTACAACTAGAAGGAAAGAAAAAAAGCGCATTGATACCGGGTAGGAGGTGCAGAGGCGCCAAGAGCAGAGATACGAAGGCGCGCGCGAGGCAGGCTGCGCCTGGGTGCGCGGTTTTCTTCAATGGGAAGGGGATACAAGCTCTTGAATGCACTGAACTTGGAGACTCTGGGGACCCAGACTCCTACGGGGGAAACTGGACTGTCTTGCAGCGGGTTGGAAAGCGAGGCATTAAAACTACTAAAAGACAAAACAGCTATCATCCAGAACCACAGGAAAGCTGGCCCAGTGGAAGTTCTACAACTAGAAGGAAAGAAAAAAAGCGCATTGATACCGGGTAGGAGGTGCAGAGGCGCCAAGAGCAGAGATACGAAGGCGCGCGCGAGGCAGGCTGCGCCTGGGTGCGCGGTTTTCTTCAATGGGAAGGGGATACAAGCTCTTGAATGCACTGAACTTGGAGACTCTGGGGACCCAGACTCCTACGGGGGAAACTGGACTGTCTTGCAGCGGGTTGGAAAGCGAGGGTGGCTTTCTCGCAGAGCTGCTCGCAGGGATCATTGTTACTGCGGGGGTGCAGGACTCTGGGACATGGAGACCCGAGGAGTCACGGAGACGGCTGGCGACAGCCATTGCTGTTTGCTCTGCCCTGGTGATTCTCTGAGACCCCGTCCCACTCAATTTACATCCCCACCCAAGCAGGGCAAAGGAACCGCCTGCCCTTTTGCAGCCTAACCTAACAAACTGCAGCTGGGTCAGAGAGCTCCAAAACTTCCAAACCCCAAACAAAGAGGAGAAATCTGCTGATATTGCTGAAGCTCCTGTTGGGTGGACTCACACAGTGGTTGACTTGGAGATCCAGGAGCCAGGGTACCCAGTGGTCAGATACCAGATTTCAATTCCTCACATCCATAAGGGACACACTCAAGAGGCAGACTCAGTGAGCACCAAAGCCCCACTGAAGCAAGTCCTACCCCATAAGGGTGTCTCCAGCACAGCAGTTCTTCCACTATAGCACTATAGGCTCCTCGCAGTCAGCCAAAATGCGGAGACAAAGAAACATGTCACAAATGAAAGAAATTGAGGAAAGCAAACAAGCAAACTTAGAGTTCAAAACCACAGTTATAAGGTTACTCAAGAATCTTCTACGAACCTCCGAGGAACTTAGTGAGACCTTCAAGGATCTTAATGAGAATGTCAAAAAAATGGAAAAGGACCAGTCAGAAATTAAACATACACTGACTGAAATTAAGAATAATATACAGAGATCCAACAGCAGACTAGAGGATCCCAAGAATCAAGTCAAAGATTTGAAATACGAAGAAGCAAAAAACACCCATCCTGAAAAGCAAAAAGAAAAAAGAATCCAAAAATATGAA